GGCGCCCGCCGCCGCGCGGGCCAATAGCAGGCGGCCACGTCCCGCGCCATGCGGCGCCGACCAATCGCCGTCTTCTACCGGCGTGGCGTCACGGCGCGGCGCCCGCTCCCGCTGTGGGCGCTGTGCGGCGCCGGCCCGGAGCGGGCCGGGGGGTCGTGGCGGGACCGCTCGGTTCGCAGCGTTCCCGGAGGGCTGAAACCGAGCCCGGGCGCGCGGCGGCGGCGGCTGCGAGTGGTGCCCGCGGGCGGACGGCGGTACCGCCCGCCCGGCCAAGGGCACTCGGCGCCGCCCTCCCGCCTCACGCTTCCGCCCTCACGCAGCCGCCCTTCCCAGCATGGCGGCGCGCCTGAGCCGCTGCGGCGCGCGGGCCAATCATCGAGCAAGCGTGGCGGAAGAGGGCGAGGCGGCAGCCAATGGGAGCGCGGCGGGGGCGGGGCGGCGGCGACAGCGGCGGCAAGGGGGGTGAAATTTCTGGAAGGTGCCGCGGCCGCGCTGAGCTGGGCCGGGCCGGGGCGCGTGCGGCGGGGCCGGCACCGGCACCAGGACCGGCACCGGGACCAGGACCGGGACCGGCACCGGGCGGCGAGCGCACTGCGGGCGGCCCCCGGCGCCGCCGCCATGAACCACAAGAGCAAGAAGCGGATCCGCGAGGCGAAGCGCAGCGCCCGGCCCGAGCTGAAGGACTCGCTGGACTGGACTCGCCACAACTACTGCGAGACCTTCCCGCTGAGCCCCGGCGCCTGCAAGGTGCGTGGCCTGGCGTGCGGGGAGCGCCCGGGGGAGCGGAGGGGCTGGCGGGGGGAAAGGGGCCCCGTGGGCAGGGGCGATGGGGGCTGAGGGGAGCGATGCGGGAGCAGGAAGGGTTGGGGAGGCTCAGCGGGGTATCGTGAGGGAAACTGGGGAGCGGGGTGTCTTGTGGGAGAGCCTTGGGGAATGCGGGGGGGCACAGGGGTGAGGGGAGCAGGAGCTGGGGGCTGTGCGGAATGGGGAGCTGGGGAGGGCAGGGAGGCCCTGTGAGGGGGCATGTGGAGCCAGCGGGGGCTGATGCTGACCAGCACCCTGGTCTTGGGGTGGATTTTGTCCCAGAGCTGCTTTTGGGAGCCTGGTGTAACTCCCGAGCAGCCCCCGGGCCCCCAGCTTGGGAGCCCACGCCGGGGGAGCAGCCAGCGCTCCTGGCAGAGGAGGAGACCAGCAGAGAGAGGGAAGGTGTCTGCCGAAAGGGCAGAGGTGCCTGGTAATGCCCCGCAGGAGCAGCGCCAACAACTGCAGCCGCCYGCCTCGCCGGTGGGTGTGAAGAGCAGGAGAAACAGCACCGCGCTCCTGGGCAAGCCTAAAATAACCCACGGGCAGCCTAATATACCCTCCTTGGCACAAAGTATGAGCGAGAGGGGCTTATTTAGTGCGCTCCTGGGATGTTTATCACTCCTAACAGTTCTGTGGTTTTTTTCTCTTGCCTCCGCAGGATAATGTGGAAAGGGCCGATGCACTCCAGTTAACAGTGGAAGAGTTTGTTGAGCGTTATGAGAAACCTTACAAGCCTGTAGTCTTGCTGAATGCTCAGGTGGGCTGGTCTGCTCAGGAGAAGTGGACTCTGGAACGTCTCAAACGCAAGTATAGGAACCAGAAGTTCAAATGTGGTGAGGACAATGATGGTTACTCTGTGAAGATGAAGATGAAATATTACATAGAGTACATGGAGACCACACGTGATGACAGCCCGCTCTACATCTTTGACAGCAGTTACGGAGAGCATCCCAAGCGTAGGAAACTCCTGGAGGACTACAAAGTGCCCAAATTCTTCACTGATGATCTTTTCCAGTATGCAGGAGAAAAGCGAAGGCCGCCTTACAGGTGAAGTATAACCAGAGCAAGATAAAACTAGCCTTTTTTTYCATCTTATTGGTCATTTCTAGATAGACATAATTGATTTATACAAAGCAGAACAATAGCTTTACATCTGTTATTTTGAGATGAGCCTGCATCAGTTACCTAGAGGGAGAGCGATGTAGCACCTTTGGTAGCAGAACCCAAAACTGTGACACAAAAAAATTATAAGTTCCCTATGTCTTTTTTTTTTAAGGTCAATTTGTCACACTACTTAGCTTAAAAGAATTGAGTCATTACTGAAAATTGTGCAGATTAATTTCTTGATGAGTGTGAAGTGCCTTGTGATTTTCAAATTGCTGAGTACCTCAAGCTGAACTTGTGAGTTTTGCCCCTATGAGTTATGTACAGCGTGGGATTTTGTTAAATTATGAGTCAGTCCTTTTAAGGTAAAGATCTTAAAATTATATATGAAGTGTGGAGATGAGTTGCTAGCTCCCCTGCAGATGGTGTTGACAGAGAACAGTATTTATTTTGCATTTACATAATCTTTTCCATCCCTTTTCAGTATCTAGCTGAAACCAGGAAAYCTCTAGTTGAAAACAGTGTTGAAATGACACTTGCTTCCTGGAGTCAAATGTAATTACCTGGTATTCAGCCTGCTGGATACAAAAATGATATTTATCTATGTTAATATTATTCTCCATAACAGTATGAGCACTAACTTTCCCAAGTAATTAAAGTCTTTCCATAGAGTGTTATAATTGACAGAGAATAGCTTGCCCTTTGAATGACACGGGGCTGGGTGGTTTTTTGTTGCCCTGGCAATGTTCCGTTCTAATCAAATAGAATGAGTTATAAACATGATATTCTGTTTTGCTTCCTTCCTGCAATCTGTCACGTCATGTGTCTCTAGTCCAGCTATAAGTTTTGGGAATAAACTGTGGAAACTTTCTCAAAAACACTGAAACTGGTATTTTAACAATGCTGTAACAGGACTGTAAGAGGAACATTTTCATCATTCACCTCTTAAAAAAAGTGCTGTGGGCAGACACTAAAGTGTACAAGGTGCAGTCTGTTAGAAACTGGTCATATCTGGAAAGTGGATATTCACTTATCAAAGTTCCAGACTCTCTAGTTTTCATAGTTAGGAACATGTCTATCTATCTATCTATATATATATATATATATTTACCTCCCCATCCACATGTACATTCTAAGCTTCTTGCTTGTGATCCTGGTATCCACAGAATTCTTACTTATTTGAAAAGGTGGTTTTCACAGAATCACGGATTGGTTAAGGTTGGAAGGGACCTCTAGAGATCATCCAGTCCAACCTTCCTGCTCCAGCAGGCACACCCAGAGCATGTGGCACAGGGCGGCATCCAGGCGAATTTTGAAGACCTCCAGAGMAGGAGACTCCACAACCTSCCTGGGCAGCCTGTGCCAGGGCTCTGTCACCCTCACAGTGAAGAATTTCCTCCTCACCTGGAGATGGAACTGCCTGTGTTGCAGTTTGAACCCATTTCCCCTTGTCCTGTCRCTGGCCACCACTAAGAAGAGCTTGTCCCCTTTCTCCCTACATTCTCCCTTCATGAACTTATCCATATTAATGAGATCCCTTCTCAGCCTTCTTTTCTCCAGAGAAAACAGGCCCAACTCACTCAGTTTAGCTCCTCATATGAGAGATGTTCCATTCCCTTAATCATCTTGGTTGCCCTCCACTGGACCCTCTCTAGAAGCTCCACGTTCCTCTTATACTGGAGAGCCCAGAAYTGCACCCAATGCTCCAGGTTTGGCCTCGCCAGAGCAAAGGGGCAGGATCCCCTCCCTTGACCTGCYGGCAACRTCCTCCTGATGCAGCCAGGATCCGATTGCTTTGTTTGAGGTTGTCCCTGTTTCTGAGAGAGGAGTGGTGCAGGAGAGAACATTGATGCCTCTTTGGGTTATGGGCTTGATCAAGGTACAGAAACAGATGAATACTGGCAGTTAACAGCATAACTGGAAACGTAAGAAAAATTGGTGCTCTCTAGCTTTGTGATCAGGACAGACACAAGGCAGATTGAGAGATTTGGTGGTGTATAGATAAAAAACTTGGAATTTAAGGTCCTTAAAGCATCTTCCATTTAAAAATAACATCTYCTAGGGGTTGTTGTCATATATTGAAATGACCTAGTTGTGTGGGGGGATTTTTGTTTGTTTTTGCTTGTTTTTTATCATGACAGGTTTCTAACAGTAAATCTGAAGACGTGGTGTGCGTTGCCTACAGTTCATTATAAATGCTTAAGGAAAGATAGCGGCAAATTTTAGTATCACTAAATGCCTGTGTGCGTAGATTGAGGTTGTAGTCAGAAAAGAAGTTTTGAGCAATGTATCTCTTCCTTCCTGAGACAGACTTGGCGCGTGGTCAGTTTCCTATAATTTTATTAATAAAAACTTCCATTTTGCTGTTCCTTAATGTTCTCCAAGGCTGATATGGACCAAGGATTGAGCTGACAGTAGAGCAGATAAGCACCTGCTTGCTCACAATTTTATGACTTTTGTGAAGTAGGAAGAGCGCAACTTGAAAGCCAAGCTTACAGTCTTGTAATCAGTGCTAGTAAATTATACCTGCAAATTACTCTACTTACCCCTGTATGGGAGGAGGGAAATGGAGGCGAGAGGTGATTTTCAGTATTTTGTGAGTCTTTGAGCTCCTGCTGCTGAGTTTTACCTGACTATCTGCCCCACAGTGGAAGGATCTTTTTGGAAGAAGCTGCAAATTTGTGGGCTTTAGTTTCTATCTTCTTTGCTGCCCACTTAAGAATTATTTCCCTTTTTTCCTCTCTTAACAGATGGTAAAACATCACCTCAGTTATCGCCTTTTATCAAGAAAGGAGATCTTATTCTTCTGTTTCAAAGAGAATGAGCAGTCAGAGGAGCTGTTACTTTTAAATACTTAAAGCAGGTTAAGTTCTGTATAGGGAAAAATAACCTTCATAAGTTGGTAATGAAGATATAAAGAGCAAATCCTGGCTGCCCGCTGGAATATAAACCCCAACTCGATAACAGTTGCAGTGAAAAGCTGCTGTAAATGAACAGAAGGCACAGAGGGCGGCGGGACTTGCATAGTTTTRTTCTACTTCTTATTTGTGTCGCCTTTTGTTCCACAGTGTTCTGCAGTTTTTGTTCCACTTATGAACCACAGATCTTAGAAAAATATAGGATAAAGAAGARCCTCCCACCTTGTAAGACTCCTATTGCAGTTAGGACTTAATGGCCTTCATGAAGATTTCTACTAAATCTTGAAATCGTATATATTTTATTGGAGGACTACTTATATTTCATAGCTGTACTTTATTCCAAAAGTCATCTTCAGTTTCCTGGCTCAGAGTGACTCCTGTCACCATTCTTGTTGATTTTTAGCTTAAAACAGTTGTATCGTTTGTTGTATTATTAATATAACAGTCTATTTTGATACAATATTGCTGCTGACTCTCTTTTGAGAACGCAAATGAAGATATTCTAGCTAAATTATTTCCCTTGGTTTCTAGCTGTTTCAAATTAACAGCTGTGAAAGAAAGAAAATGATTAACAACGGTGACTGCTTGTTTGCAATATATATATATATTTTTCCTTCATTTGCAGATGGTTTGTGATGGGCCCACCTCGCTCTGGAACAGGAATCCACATTGATCCCTTGGGAACTAGTGCTTGGAATGCCTTAGTCCAGGGACATAAGCGTTGGTGCCTCTTCCCCACCAGCACTCCCAGAGAGCTGATCAAAGTGACCCGAGAAGAGGGAGGGAACCAGCAGGATGAAGCCATCACCTGGTTCAATGTCATATATCCCAGGACACAGCTCTCCACCTGGCCCCCTGAATTCAAACCCCTGGAGATCTTACAGAAACCAGGCGAGACAGTCTTTGTGCCAGGTATGTACAGCCCTCTCCAGGAAGGGAATATGCAAGAAAGAACCATATTTTCACACAAGTGTAGCAGAGCTGAAGGCAAGAGTGCAGCTTGCTCACATGGCTCATCTTAGAGGAAAAAAAAGATGAGCCTTTAAACAGCTCTCCTTCAAGCTGGTCAAAAAGGGCTACGAATTCTGGGGCCCTCTTTGAGATTTTTTCAGTTATTTTCTGATCCCCCTGGAACATAAAAGACCAGTAACATAGGACTGTGCCAATGTAAAACTTGAGCTACAGTAAACTGTGTCCCAAAATGTGACCATAAACGAGATGATGATTGTAGGAGAACACTAAGGCATAAACGAACAAAAGTGTATGAATTCTAGTAGCTCTTGCACAAGCTTTTGAGGTTACATGCAGCATAGCAAATTCATCAGTGGATTTTATACTTGGTAACCTGTCTGCCTATGATTTTTTTGGTGGTGGGGGGGCGGTTTTCTCAAGGGTGTGGAAAGAGCTACTTAAGGGCACTGATACTTTCCACCCGCTTCTCTGAGACTAGACCTAATCTTGCAGTTGAAATCAGAAACCTAAGAGAATAGCATCCTTACCAGATGCTGTGTGCCTGTTATTACTGTGTGTGGCTAGTGGATAGAGTGGGTGAGCTCAGTGCCTGCATTCTGTCCTCTAAATCTGGCGTCGTTTTTGTGCAACACGGTGTATCGCTGCTGTCCACTTTGCTCGTCTCCCAAATACAGATGACTTCATGTTTGAAAAGCGCCTTGTGATTGTCTTGGCACTTACTAGCAACTCTTCAGTGTACCTTCTGTTAGGATTGTGTAGCTGTCTGCTTCCATTAAACTGTTTTAGTCTTTTCTTTGGGGTTAAGAGTAGATTGGAAGAACGTGACATAACTCTCTTTCTCTAGCTCCTCAATCCTGTGTAGGGGAACAGTTGGCATCTGCTTTTAATTGAAAGCTAAGTCTCTAACCATAAAAACCTTACTAAATCAGCATGGAAAGTGCTGTCCAGCTTAACAGAGGATCTCTGTGCAGACTGTGTTCCAGTGGCACTTGCTATTAAATAAACTGTCAGTAGCCAACGTGCTGCTGTCRAGTCAGATCTGTGGTGCACTGTGTGAGCTGGAGAATCTGGTCGAAGCACTGAGCAGCCCTCTTTAACAATGAATTCCATAATGTGACTGAAGAAGGAAGATKTAGCAACAAACTCATCTGTATTTGGGAGATGAGGTCCAGTTTCCACCTCTGCTTTGGGCAAACTGGGCTATGTTCCAGTTTGTGAGAGTACAGTAACATTATAGTTCAGCTATAACACATTGGAAAGCTAAAGAGAGTGGCGTTGTAATAGGGGGAGAAGTATTTGTGGTTGTTCTTAAACATAATTTCTGGTCGCTGGTGTTGTATTTATAGGTGGCTGGTGGCACGTGGTCCTCAATCTCGACACAACCATTGCCATCACACAAAACTTTGCCAGCTGTACCAACTTCCCCGTGGTGTGGCACAAGACGGTAAGAGGGAGGCCCAAATTATCACGGAAATGGTACCGGTGAGTGACTTAGTAACTTCCTCCCCATGTTCTTCATAAACATGGTTGTAGTTCTTCATGCCCCATTGCTGCTTGAAGGCTAATCCGTACTTTCAATTTTATTTAGGATCTTAAAGCAGGAACATCCTGACCTAGCAGCGTTGGCCGATTCAGTTGATTTACAGGAATCTACTGGTATTGCTTCTGATAGTTCTAGTGATTCTTCCAGTTCTTCAAGTTCTAGCTCCTCAGACTCTGATTCAGAGGTAAGATTTTTACCACCTGATCTGTATTCTGCAATTTTATTGTTTTATTTTTGCTCACGTGGAGGCCGACTCTAATAATGGTCCCAATAGTCGCCTATTATAGAAGAAATGAGCAAAAAGCAAATAAAGGGAGTGCATGGTGGCGGGTTCTGTTCTCAGCAGGTTCTGTTTGCTAAAGGCTATCTTTGTATCACTAAATAAATTTGGCTTGTTTGATCTATGTATACATAACATGTAAATCAATYGCTGATTTAGCTAAGCTGTCCTATCTGAACTGGCTGCAGAACTGCTGTTTTGCAAACGGCGGGGAGCCAGGATGTCAGTTGTGACACTGGACTTCTCTAGGTGACCTGCTGAGATACCCGTAATGCCCCAAGCTACTGAGTCTGCATCCATAAAGTGAGGTCCCTGAAGGAGGCCAAGTGAGTGCACCAGTTGTCCAGAATTTGCTGTGGTCACTGAAAATTGAATATCTCTCTCTCCAGGCTTTAAATCCCTTAATTTTAAATTGATTTCATAGAGCTAAATCTAAAATAGCAGGTGTTCTTTGAACTTTTGGTTACTTAGCACTACTGTGGTAGCTCTTACAGTGATTTTTGGAGCACAAACACAGTTTACTAGCCTTCTYTAATTTCACTGAATTCTGCTTTATTTTTATGTATTTTTCTCTGCACACTTCAGTGTGACTCTGGCTCGGAGACAGAGGGAATGATGCATCGGAGGAAGAAGAGGCGGACGTGTAGCATGGTGGGGAACGGTGACACAACGTCCCAAGATGACTGTGTGAGCAAAGAGCGCAGCTCCTCCAGGTGACCTGATGGCAACTCTATTAATTTTAACGAACAAAAGACAATCCGAGGCAGAGCTGGGAGAAGTGAGCTAGGGTGATTCGTCAGGATAGAGAGCTGGAGAGCAAGAGTCTCTTCCAGAATGTGAAGCTATTGGTGATGCCCTCCCTCCAGGAATTGTTTTAATTGCTCCAAWCAGAAAACTTTAAGATTTTGGTATTTTTTTTAAATGAGCTTTTACATTATTTAATAAACAGTTTTATTACTTTTCTTAATTGTCTCTTTCAATAGAGAATATTCTTTTTTTTTTTTTTTTTTTTTTAATGGGAGAGATGGAAGGTTTTGGCTGTGCTCTTCAGAGCACAAGAGAACAGTAAACAGCTAAACATGAGGAATGATCAGGCGAGATTTGTCTTTGGACATTGGTTGTCCAAAGAGAAAACCTTCAAATAGCAATACAGTTTCTCTTATGTTCTTGTTGCCTGGATTATTTCAATTTGGCCTGCTGCCTTATGTGTTAACAAAATTTATCCAAGTCCCCAGCAGGTAGTTGAAAATAAAAGAGATCTTTTTTGCCATCTGGGCCTGAAGAACTGAAATGAGGTATTGTTTGGAATAAAATTCTTGAGGAAAGATATTCTCTGAACTGGCCAGGTTAAAAACTAGGTGTTTGCCAGTATTATCTGTGGGAGAAACTTAGCAGTTCTTGGCTAAACTTAAGCATTTCTCTCATATAGAAGAGGCTTGCTCACGTTCTCGAGTGTGTTCCTCTCAGCATGGCTAACTGAAGCTGCTGTATGAGCTGCCTGTCTTCCGTAGGGTGTTGGCTAGCTCTTGGTCTACTGGTTGCTTCAGATTTGAAATGTCCACAAATATTGTGGTGAGCTAGTGTAGAGCTGAGAAAGCGCAGGCTGCCAACAGCAGGCCTGACATCCTGGTGTGGGTGCTGTCTAAAGCCCTGTTTGCCTCTCTTTTGGCCATTTATGTTGCTGATAGGTAGTGTTCTCTTGCTCTCTGGAGTCGCTCATAACGAAATACAGTCAAATTACAAGTACAGAGCACCCTTAGACAGTTGATGGGAACTGCATTGACTGCTTATTTTGTGTAGAGGTTTTAGCAACTTACTGCAATGTTATCAACTCATTTTTCAGCAGCCAGTTGCAACTCCAGGCAGGGAAGGAGCAGCAGGAGCTAATGAAGATTCATGCAGACCCCAGTTTTTGTTTCAGTACATCTAGAATTGCAGATCACACATACAGTTGTGTCTTAAAGGGCATAAGTATTTTAAGGTCTTTGTACTTCAGACATTGAAATGAGCACAGTATGCTTTAAATACTGGCATCTAGAACCTTTCCTTTTCAGATTTCACCATTTTTTACCACGATTTTTGTTGGTTGTTCTTCCCTTATGTCTTGAAGATGGGTGGGATTTCTGCTCCAGCTATATGAGGGATTAGTTAATAGAAACAGCTCCAAATATGAAGTCATAACTTGTGCAATTCTATAGGAGGAAACAAAAAAATAAGATGAGCCTGCATGCTGTGATCCTGTGTCCTGGTCTGMGGGGTAATGCTGCAGTTGTTGACAGGCAGTTGTACTTTTTTTGACAGGATTAGGGACTCTTGTGGAGGCCGCACTTAGCCCTGAGAGATCAGAACACCCGTCTAGAGGCAGCTGCCGCTCGGAGCTCCGTTAGCAGCCAGCCAGCTCTGTTCTACCCCCTTCTGCTCCTCCTTCTCATGGTCCTTGAGTTTCTGTCACTTTGATCCAAACATCTGTCTTCGTTCCGTACTGTGGAAGGTTGGCTCCTCTCTAACCTAAGGGGGAACGGCCCGGTTCGACGTGACTGTGCAATGCTTTGTCCCCTCCGCGCCCCGAGTGAGTGCACTAAGTACCCAGCCCTGGGTAAGGACATGCCAAGTATTTACTGGCTCACGTGACTGGCAAGGAAGACAACGGTCCGTTTTTAAAGAACTCTTTTTAAAAAAAAAACAGCGGGTAGATGTAGAAACCTGCCTTGCTTTGACACTGTCATATGTTTACATGTTGTCCTGTACACTTGAGGAAAGGAACACCAGCCCTCCTGGCCTGGCCGAGCGTCCGAGGGATCTTGTACTGGAATTTCAGGATGGGGAGGTGGTAGGAATGCTTCAAACACTGAAGTAGCTTCAGTGGACGTGAGCGCCTACCCGAAGCGTCTCTCGTGGTCTTAATCTACGTGCATGCACTAAACCAGGTTGATAAGGTGCAACACCTTAACCAGCAACAGTCCTTTTACTTTTGCTCTGTGTCRGTGAGTAGTAACAAAGACGCACTAGCACCTTGCCACAGAAAGCCGGGGGAACAGGAGAATCTTGGAGCTTCTTGCACAGCAAAGAAGTCTGCAGTTGCCACTAGGGTGCTGGGGTCCCGTTCACCACTAGGCAATAACTGGCAGGTCGATTCTTATAGTAACAGCCATTGCTGGGCTTTAAATACCAAGCAGTTACAGTGCCATGGGCGTCTTCAGGCCGGTGCAGCTCACACACAAATGGTTCTTTGAGGTTGTGGCTTGGGTAATTTGCAGAATTAGTGGTGCCAATTTGAAAGGTCTGGGAGGGGGACAYGTCTGATCGTTTTAAAAAGAAAGAAAAAAGTGATTCTTAAGTCTATRTAGATGAATTTGTGCCAGGTGAAGCCCTTGTCCCTAAGGGACGTGCAGGATTTTTTTTAAGCAGGGGCTGTGGTAGTGTCAGCTGTCGGGGTCCTGCTGAAGCTGCACCACAAGGAAATGGTTCCTTATCCTCTGATGTGAAGAGCAGAGCCGGGAGCGGCTGGGTCGGGATGCTGCCCCGGGAGCTCCTGCCCGAGGAGAGGACACGAGGTGTCACCTCAGTGCTGCTGGTCGGAAGAGGAAGCGTGGTGGAGGACGTGTGTCGTTCTGCTAACCACACAGGAATGCCCAGGTCCTTGCGTACCAAGCAGCAGGTGGGCAGCCTTAAGTGTGACTTTCTTACACGTATTCGATTGGGTAGAACCCAGAATGTTGCTCGTTTGGGTTTTTCCATTTTAGCTTTTTTAACCTTGTTTTTCTTCCTATTTAAACACCCTCTCCCTTTTTGGAGACCAGGCCACAGGCTGTTTTACAAAGGAGCCCTATTTATATTTGTCACGATTTGTTTCTGAGTATTCTGTGCTGATCACTTCACGTAAAACCAACGTAATGGTGGAAAAGCTGGAAGGAGGGAAGGTTTATTGGTCCTCTCAGTCGTCCAGACCCCTGAGTGTCTTGGGGATAGCCAGGTGTGAATGAGCCTTCTGCCTGAAGGAAACCTCCCAGCCTTCTGGCCAAGGTTGCCTTCTCATTGCCCAGCTCAACAGCCCAGGAGCCTGTACAAAGCACATAGTCCTCATCGGGCAGAGCGAGCTGCAACTGCTGCTTCTTGGGAGAGAATAGGGTTGGATTGGGAAAGGCTCAGGGGCTGCTGCAGCCCTCGTGGCGAGGGGAGCTCTGTTGTGAACACTGCTGCGGTGTGAGCAAGGCGGCCTCTTCTTGGGTGCTGGCTAAGGTAAGGTGGCTTCTGCTGTGGCTTCCCGTTGCTTTGGGCATGCACGGCTGCAGCTTTGCCCTCTGCGGATCTCCGCCGCGCTCGCCAGGCTCACGGCGGCGCCGGGAAAGCCGGGCCTGCTCCATCCGAAGCACAAGCGGCTGATCCGCACTGCAGAATACCCCTCTGTGCCTGTGAACTCTTGGGTAGCGTGAAATAAACCCTTTCAAACGGAAGCCCGTGTTCGGCTGACGTCGCTCGCTGCGAGGCGGCGGGTCTGAGCGGAACGGCAGGCGCCGGCGTCGCAGCAACGCTGTACGACTCGTCCACGAGGCACTTTCTCGTCCGAAATAAGGTATTCCCAAGTCCAGGAATTGGGACTCCGGGATCTCCGGGTCTGCTGCTCGCAGGCTGTTGCCTCGGCCGCCCTGGTGAGCTTGTCTGTTTTATTAGATGGAAAAATACCTACCTCACAGGGGTGTTGTGAGGCTGAAATGTAATTACTGTGTAAGCTGCTCTGAGGTGCTCCTCCTGCAGCAAGTGCTCCAGAAACGGGAGGCCGGCTCCGACCTCCTGAGCTGGCAGTAGCTTTTCCCACCGGAGCGCGTTAGGGAGGCTCTTGGTTCCATAGCAGCCCCCTTCAAAGCGGCACGTAGGGCACAAACTGTGTCTGAGGGAGACTCTTTGGTTTCACCAGAGCTTAACTGTTGGCGTTTTGTGGCCTGTTCCAAAGAGGACGTCCTCCCCGATGAGGATTTTTCCTCACGTGGGCCAGGCGAGTTATCCCTGATAAGGGACTGAGCCTCCCTGGCCTTATAGGAAGGAGGGGGGAACTAGTCCTGTGGAGCCCCTTGTTCCAAACCAGGCCTGTGTAGGGATTTAAACATAAACCAGCGCWGTGCCCGGCTCTGTGCTGGGGACAGGGCTCAGTGCTGGCCCTCCCCACCCTGCAGGGCCTTGGATCTGCCCCTGTCCCCTGCAGAGCCCSGGAGCGCTCGGATGGAGGAGGCTGGAGGCTCCGCGAGGCTCCTYGGCCGCCGCTCGCGCTTCGCCCCGTCCGGGTTGTCTCCTCGACGGCGCTCGGCCTCTCCAAACGCTCAGCTACAGGCAGCAGCCTCCGTAATGCACCTCGACCTTKTCCTGCCGAGTCCCCGGGGCAGGAGGCAGCGCTGCCGGTTGAGTCCCGGGCGCCCGCGGGCTGCTCCCAAAGGCGGCTTTTGTCCTTCCCGCGGAGCGGAGCGGGAGGGACGCGCTGGGACAGTCGCACTCTCAGCCCTAGCCCGGCCACTGCCATTAGATGCTTTTTAGCACCCCGTCCAGCAGAGCTGGGATCCTATTAATTGTCTTGTTTGGATGATTGTGGTTTTGCTTTTTATTTTAAATAAAATCAATTATTTTGCATTATTCTTGTTAGTCTTTTTTTTCCTTTTTTTCTTTTTTTTTAGTCCATACCATGAGTGTAAAACCTGGCCTCCGGGCAGAGCCGAGCTTTGGTCCGCTGTTCCTGCGTATCCGGGAGCTTCGGGGACGGAGTCGAGCGCAGGCGGCAGCGGCTTTCAGAGGAACTCCTGGAGCATCAGCCAGCCCGATGCCACAAAATTGGGACGGTGGTGGCCAAAAGCAACCCAGAGCCGTTGCAGAAGTGTTTCTGTTAAGAGTCTCCTGCATCCTGTTCCCGGGAGATGATTTTATGTAGTTACAGCTTTAAGATGATCCCATAATTTTCCCTAATTTGCAGGAACTGGTGGTCACTTTGGTGACGAGGGTGGCCTTGCCATCTAGATGTGACTTCTCCCGATTTATTGACCCGTGTTCCAGGTGACAGGGACACAGCAGCCCCTTGCAGCTGGGGGGCAGCCGGCTCAGGCCATGATCACTAGTGGGGAGCAGAGAGGAGGGGTCTCGTCCAGCGCTTGGGCTGCTGCTTGCTGCAGATTTTAAATGTCCACAAATATTTGGTTTATGTGACATTGCGTGAGAGGGGGCGCGGAGCTGCGGGGGCCTTTGCAGCATCTTTGCTGTTTCTGCTCCATTCCTCTAGTTTAATGTGTATATATATAAAAAGAAACTTGCTGCTGCTTTCTTGMCCTTTAGAAAGCAGATTGCAAAGAGAACAACACTGCATTCCTGCTCTGATCCAAAGCAACCGATGGTTTTGGAGACTGATTTGGGCTTAAGGTGCTTGTGGCATCTCGCCTTTTCAAGGCGTGTAAAGATCCCTGCACCCGCGTGCACGGCTCCTGCTTCAGGAGGAGTAATCGGAGGATGCAGAGCTGCCTGGAACTGCGTTTAAAACAAATAGTTTCCTTTCCAGTTTGGGAAGTGGCAGGTCCCAACTACAGGCCGTGTCCGTAGAGTCAKGCATGGAGGTCAGGACGCTGCCTTCCGTCCCGTGCTGCCGTGTTTGGTTTCCTGGGCCGGTCTGGGGAAGGGGAAAAGGGTGACCTGCTAAACCGGGTCTTTTCTTTGCGACTGCAGAGAGCTCTGTGGGCTCCGCGGCGCGACGGCCGCGGGAGAGGGGAGCCATGTGCGGGAGAGGGGAGCCGTGTGCGGGAGAGGGGAGCCGTGTGCGGGACAGGGGAGCCGTGTGCGGCGGTGGCCGCAGCGCAGGTGACAGCCCGTGAAGCGGGGCAGACCGCAGGGCGCTCGGGAGCCACGGGCGCTGCCGCTCGCTCCAACCGCACTCCAGGGCCCGGGCCCGGCGCCGCGGTGGCCGCTGCAGCGCGGCGCCGCTGCCAAGAGAGGGCAGCTCCGTCCCGGGCGTCGCACGCGCCCAGCGGCCTCCGCAGCCTCCGGCATCCAGCAGCCTCCGCACCCCACAGCATCCAGCGGCCTCCGCAGCCTCCAGCATCCAGCAGCTTCCGCACCCCACAGCCTCTGCACTCTGCAGCCTCCACACCCCACAGCCTCCGCACCCCGCAGCCTCCAGCGGCCTCCGCAGCCTCCAGCATCCAGCAGCCTCCGCACTCAGCAGCCTCCGCACCCGTGGCCTCTGCACCCCGCAGCCTCTGCACTCAGCGGCCTCCGTACCCCATGGCCTCTGCACCCAGCAGCCTCCACATCCCGCAGCCTCCACACACAGCAGCCTCTGCACCCTGCAGCCTCCAGCATCCAGCAGCCTCCAGCATCCAGCAGCCTCCACACTCAGCAGCCTCCGCATCCAGCAGCCTCCGTACCCCGCAGCCTCCGGCATCCAGCCTCAGCACATAGACAAGGAGAGGTCACCTGCTCGTCCCCCAGCCCCAGGGCTGCTCTGYGGAGCTCCCGAGGGACGCCAGGGAAGCAGCAGCCTCCCGCGATGCCYGCGGTGCTGGTCCTGCTGCGGATCCTGCTCCGGGCGCGCTCCGAGGCAGCCYGCATTGCAGGGAGCAGCCGGTGGGAGGAACCCTGTGGATATCTGTCCTTCCCGCGGCCACCCCGCTGCACCCGGGCAAGCTCAATCCGTCCGTTTGCCACCTGAGGGCCGCAGAGGGATCATGAAGGCACCGCACGGCATCCGCTGGCCTAAGGTTGCTCTGCCTATGCTGCTGAACCGGGCCTGGGTGTAGGGAGCAGAGCTTTGTTGCTCATTCTGCCACCACGTCACTAATCCAGACCAGATGCGCATGTTCTTGCCCAAGTGTCCCTGACGCTCCTGGGTGCTGCTCTTTACGGGTGTTTCCCAGAAATGTCTGTGCCTGCAGCTCTCACAAYGAGGAGGGCGGGAGGTTGCAGCATCCCAAGAGGATCATTGAGGTCCAAAGTCGGATGCTCCTAGTGACCGTCTCCAGCCGTAGCTCCATTCGGTTTCCCTTCARCGAGCCCTGTGCCGGAAGAACCTTGCGAGTTGGTGCCACATACGGCGTGTGGAGGTGATAAATGGCAGTTGGGAAGGTGCACGTGGAATGGTGACGTGCTCAGTCTCTGCATCGGTTAATGACGGGTTAATGCAACACGGCTGGGAATTGCTGCTAGTCCTGACACAACTCGCCTGGCCCTGGCAATGGGGCTGGGCTGGCGCTGSGGCCACCGGAGGTGGCAAACGCTGGGTCGCCAGGGCACCCCCGGCCCCTGCAGGGGATGCCAGAGCCAAGGGATGCGCTGGAGGTGGGACGGAGGCTTCACGGCTCCAGGTGCTCGCCTGAACTCCAAGGTTGTTTAAAAACAGAAAGGAATTCACACAAATCCGATTAGCCGTCACCTCTCCAAGCACYGCCCAAGCGCAGAGGAGCCTGTGCCAGCTCCTAATCAAAGATCATCCTGGCCCGTGAGGCGAGACCATCCCGGCCGCGCAGTCCGCGGACACGGCTTTGGACTCSCTGCAAGCGGCTTCTAGAAATGGCTTGATGCAGAATTCCAGCCTCAATGTCATTATTCCAGGCCTATTTATATCCAGGAGCATTCCTGGCCGTTGCATGCATCGTGCTTTTCCATTACTTTCATCTAGTGAGTCAAACTTTTGGAAGGCAGTAGCTTTGCTGAACGAAAGAATGGATTTGGGGCTGGAGAGGAAGAAAAGGGACCAAAAATACCTCCTAAAAAGAGTAACATTTGCAGGAAACCTCTGTTACAGAGTCTCTGCCTTCCTGGGGCTCAGCTCTGGAGTAGTTCCGATGACAGGGGCCTGGGAACCACGGAATTACATGGGAGAAGGGAAGTTAAGCCCTGTGGCCACTTGTTACTAAGAATACAATGATCCATACGCTAACGATCGGCTGCTTGATAGGATTACCCACAAACGGCAGCGAGGATCATGGCTGCACTTCCTTCCTCCGCCCCGGGGGACTTAATCCTGGCTTTGCGCTTTGTTTTAAGTCGGTCGATGGAAGGCTCTGTGCACGGAGCTGCCTCCAAGGCCTTTGGCCCGCGGGAAGATCCCCCGTTCGCTGCCCATGCCTGGAAAGGGAAGCGGGAGCAGCTCCGACCTGCTCATTGCAGGGCGCGCTGCAAAGCGGTGGCGCAAGGAYGGAGTCCACCGGTGCTGGGCTCCGCACGGACCCAACGACTCCCTCATTTAACTCCGTGCTCCCTCCTCATGGCCTTTGGCCGTCCCTTTTCAACCCCCCCAGCAGCAGTGCAGGGGCGCTTCTCTTGCCACCCTGGCACCCCTGTGCCCCGTGCAGGAGCAGGCTCTGCGGCGCCCCAAGCAGCGGGCTCCTTGTGGCACGTCACACACGTGCCACCGCTGTCACCGCAGCTCCCGGGGCAGCGGAGGAAGGCGCTGGGGCTCGGRGCAGGACCGCTCCGCACCGGGACGAGGCTTCCAGCGCGTGGCACCGGCGCCGGCACGGCCTGAGCACTAGCCGGGTGCAAAGGAGTCACTCAGTGTCCCWGGGGCGCCCGGAGCTGCGCGGGGGAGGCGGCCGGGGGGCGCGTGCGCACGTTGCGCAGTGCGGGTGCTTCGGATGGGGCAAAACTCAGTGGGCACCTAATCGTGGAGCGCCCTGTCTGGGCTGCGCGTCTGCATCCCACCCAAGGGCACTGCCACAGGTGGGGCCTCCCTGCGCTGCCCCAAGGCCTGAGCGTGCCAGGGGGATGGGATTCGTGTGCGTCCTATGGGGTATCCCTGTGCATCCTGGGGAGGGGTAGCCACACGTGCATCCCGGGAGGGGTAGCCATGTGCATCCCGGGAGGGGTTATCCACGTGCATCCAGGGAGGGTACCCATGTGCATCCCAGGGGAGGGGTACCCATATGCATCCCGGGGGGGGGAGTATCCATGCGCATCCCAGGGGAGGGGTACCCATGTGCATCCCGGGGGGAGGAAGATCCATGTGCATCCCAGGTGGGGGGTATCCATGTGCG